ATAAAACTTATACATTTTACAACATATAAAAGAAAATGTTGCAACATATAAAAAAGTACACAAAACTTTAATACAAAACAATGTGACAAAATGATCTAATCAATTCCGATACATATAATTTTAAATTCTGCAACACACGTCTTCTATAATTATTATTTTTTATATAATAATAAAAATGTTATTTAACAATGTTATTAAATGTGTTGTAATCTATGATTCAAATAATATAATATGGAATGAATCAAACGATTTAATTGTATATATATATAAATTCTATTTCTCGCTTGATTATCAACAAAGAGATAACTTTATAACTCTCTAAAAAACAACGAGAAAATACTGCATTATAAATAGAAAATAACTAGTTCAACAATGAAATCAGGTCTTTCCGAATAAGACATTGGATAGTACCCGATAGAAGAATGATCTCTACGGAGAGTGTGCTCAGGTTTCACGTCATCAACGCGAAAGAAAATTAAGTGATTCGTTGGACACTAAGAACTCCGTTGCAGGAGGAAACCAATTCCAAATTTTTCGGACTGTTCTTATAATAGCGTCCATCTTGGTAACGAATTAACAATTGTTACCCTTTTCCAATTTTTTTACAATGCAAAAATAATGCAAATATTATGCAATTATTAAATATTTTAACGATAACTTAATCGATATTAATCACAATTTTATAGTACATAAGATTTGCACGCAAAAATATATTCTTTATATTATTATAAAATACAGTATCTTAACAAAATAAAAAAACATGGATAGAATAACGTTTATCGAAGGATAGTTACAAATGATTATATTTTGAAGTAATGAAATACATACGTCATTATAATTTATTATATATATGAGTACAAAAATTCTTAGGTATCAACTGTTCAAGGCGAATCGAACCAATAATAATGAGATTAAAATTTTATTCATTTTTTCATATTATTTTGTGATTTCATATTATTTTGATTTTATAATCGAATATTATTAATATAATTATTTTATATTAATCAATTTTTTTTCATCAATTTATATCAATCTTTTTTCTGCAGCAGTTACTCAAATATAGTC